GTATCCTGTTTAAAGATGATCGATGTCTTAACCTCCACAACAAGAAAGTTCACAAATCTAAAGAGGAGGCCAATGTCACAAAACAGGGAAAGGTCAAGGACAAGCGTACAAGACCAAGAAGGCTGAACAAGACAATGGCAGTAAAAGACAAAACACCAGCTGATCCTAATTCTGATAACACACAGCGAGAAACATTGACTTAAGGTGGAAGAAACTGGATTTTCAGTTGTCACTGACTTGAAGTGGAAGATATTAGATATTCATGTGTGTCAGTGACTTTAAATGGAAAATAATAGACATTCATGAGTGTCAATGACTTAAATTGGAACATAATGGATGTTCATGTGTGTCAGTGACATCAGATGGAAGATACTGGACATGCATGTGTGTCAATGACTAAAGATGGAAGATACTAGATGTGTATGTGTGTCAATGACTTAAGATGGAAGATACTTGACATATATGTGTGTCAATGACTTCAGATGGAAGATACTTGACATATATGTGTGTCAATGACTTAATATGGAAGATACTGGACATGTATGTGTGTCAATGACTTAAGATGGAAGATACTGGACATGTATGTGTGTCAATGACTTAAGATGGAAGATACTGGACATGTATGTGTGTCAATGACTTAAGATGGAAGATACTGGACATGTATGTGTGTCAATGACTTAAGATGGAAGATACTGGACATGTATGTGTGTCAATGACTTAAGATGGAAAATACTGGACATGTATGTGTGTCAATGACTTAAGATGGAAGATACTGGACATGTATGTGTGTCAATGACTTAAGATGGAAAATACTGGTCATGTATGTGTGTCAATGACTGGACGTTTATGCGACTACCTATATCTAATTGTAATTGGTGTTACACATGTGTACCTCACTTGTGGAAGTACATAACTGTGTCCCCATATCTTTGTGATTAATGTCACAGAAACTGATCATGTATTATGGGTTAATTTTGTGAAGTTCATGTTGATAGGGCAATACTTACTGTTTAAAGGAAAGTAATAATTGCTCAGGATTTGATATAGTAAAATTTTCCTGGGGTTGAAATCTGTTGTATTTTTGTATATGTTGGGCAGGTGAGCGAAATACATCCAAAGATAATACTAGCTATAGTATTGACCTATTTCTGGTGCTATAAAGTTGTTGAGTGCTGTTGCCTTTTTTGTTTAAATGTGGCTAACAACTTTATAATGTAGTATTACTTAATTTGGTGAGTGTTTGTCTGGAATCAGCTGTTGTTTGATTTCTGGTGCTTGTGTACTGTTATTATTCTCTTGTAAGATTAATTCTGTCTACTTGGAATTTGTTTGTACAGATACATATTCAACTTGTAATGTTCAATGTCAAACTCATTTTAAAAACCCATGTTGACATTTCTGTTTTTCATTTTGATCACATTGTAGGGAGATAGTGCTGATATAATACCTTGTTTGATGTAGTTAAAACAAAATGCGATCATCATTAAATTTTATTATTTTGTATAATTACAGACAGTATTATACCATCTGTATATACAAGATTTGTACAGATGTTTACATTTACATAAAAACCAAATTGCTTAATTTTCATATTTGACATGTCTTTTTCAAATTTCATAGGAAGAATCCTGGTCCCTAGTTGTGCCCTTTTGATTCTGTAAGTGATCAGAAAAAACAAAATGGCTGAGAGGCAGCTATCTTGGATTTTGACTATAAAAGTTTGTTATCCTTATTTCTTGAAAAGTACAGGATTATTATTTTTCACAAAACATATGCAAGTTCTTCTTTGTCCTTTGTACTCTTTTGATTTAGGAACTGATCATGGTTGAAGGCAGTCTTCTTTGATTTTGACATTGCAGGTGCAAGCTTATTATTGCTTTTTCTAGGAGTGCTAAAGGACATTTCTCAAATGTTATATGTAGGTTCTCTTAGTCAAATGTTGTACCCTTTTGATTTTGAGACTGATCAGAAAAAGAAAAGCCGACAGGTGGCCATCAAAGATTTTGACATTTTAAGATTGTTATCAATATTTTTGAGAAGTTTTTCATATGTGAGTTTCCATAAGTACCTTGTATTGGATCAATTTAATTCTGATGGAAAGGTCTGGGTTTTTTTTATTGTTATTTCTAAAGAGGTCCTGGATGGATCATTCCTCAATTTTATTTGTTGGTTCCTAGCTGTACATCATCCATATTTAAACTGATCAGAAAAGCCAAATGGTCAACAGGCACCCATTTTGGATTATTAAGAATCATTGTCCATATTTTATAAGAGGTATTCTCGAAGTTCATATGATAAAGAAAAAGTAAGATGAGTGAAGAGAAAAGATCGTACTCATGAAGAACAAGGATCATAAAATGATGATTGTCAAGATGTTTTAGATCCGTTGATGGTGGTTGATATTGTGTTATCGTTGTTAAGTTCTTGGGTGGGAAAGACCCTTTACAACAATTTACTATGGATGACACGTGACTGACCTCCCCAGTATACTTCAGTTAGTTACTACAAGGAGACCATGCCTTAAAATGAACTTTGTTGTTCATTGAGTGATAAACTCGCCAAATAGTATCATTCAGATTCCCTGACTGTATAGATGGAATCACAATAAAATTGATGTGTTAAACATGAAATGATCTGAAGTTTTGGTTATTCTCACCATGTGTTATGCCATAAATGTGTTCAGTGTCATGACAGTGTCTGATGTCATATGACTGTTAAATGTTTGTTTAGTGTCATGTGATGTGACTGTTAGTAGTCTGTGTAGTGTTGTGAGACTTGGTTTAAGTGTTGTGTGACTGTTTAATGTTTGTTTAGTGTCATGTGATGTGACTGTTAGTAGTCTGTGTAGTGTTGTGAGCCTGGGTTTAAGTGTCGTGTGACTATATTAAGTGTCATGTGACTATATTAAGTGTCATGTGACTATATTAAGTGTCATTTGACTATTTAAGTGTCATGTGACTATATTAAGTGTCATGTGACTATATTAAGTGTCATGTGACTGTTCAGTGTTGCACAATTGTTCAGTATAGTTATTGTTACCTGTAATATGACGTTCCATGTCTTGTGTTGAAAGTTTTTTGACTATGTTTATCTTGTCATGTGATTATCTTCAATGTCATGTCAGTATGTAATCAATGTCATGTCAGTATGTTATCAATGTCATGTCAGTATGTAATCAATGTTATGTCAGTATGTAATCAATGTCATGTCAGTATGTAATCAATGTCATGTCAGTGTGTAATCAATGTTATGTCAGGTGTGAGAGGTAATTTAATGTGGAAGGGTGCGCCCTAGTTGATTCCAAGCTACAATGATACAATGGTATGAAAAGATGGGTGTTAAATATCAACAATTATATACTCATCTCACCAGAGACTGTATTTCATAAATGAGTGGCATAACACAGTTAGTAGACCTTGGATCAACCAAGATTTACATGGCAGGTGTCCTCGATGAAACACAACATCTGGTATTATTCTCCTCAATAATTCTTTTGTTTTTATTTTGCCATAATTTTTATGACTTTAGATTTGGATTATGATTATGTTGATATGATATTTTCGTGGTGTTTTTTAGGAGCCTTTATCTTCATTATATCCTTTGATAAGTTAGATAGAGGGGGATGATCATTCAGGTCGCTGTTACCTGAAATAGAATTTAGCATTCATTCTCTTTGTTATATATTACTGGAAAGGCTGCACTTCTAGACAAAATTATCAGTGTCAGTCAAAGTCAAGATCATTGTTATATACAGTCAAATTCCTCTCAAGTAGAATTCCTCAGTAACAACTGATTGCTGTGTCAGATTCTTTTTCCTGTATCAGTAGAGTAGCAGCAGTTCTTGACAAATTTTCATAATAAGTTTAGTTGTATAACAGCAGATTGCTGTGTATACAGGTCAGAATGATCAAGCAAAAAGTAGGTTATCGTTACCTAAAATAGAATTCCACTCTCTTACTTCTTTGTACGTATCACTGGAATGGCCACAATTCCTGATAAATTCTCAGTTGCGATACTACCAACACCATGTACTTACTCCAGTGCCAGAAATGCAGCTTACAATATGTTTGACAAACTCTAACTCAGTCCATCAGAGAATGTATGGTCACTTCACGGACATACTTGGGCCAATCAATACAAACCCGTGTCCCGCCATTTTATGTCAGACAACCACAACATTGATGATGTCAAAGTTATTATTATCACCACAACAATGGCCAACATCAACATCCACCTCAGAACAGAAAAAACATGGATTGAAACACTGGAACCATCCGGCCTCAGTCTTGGATATGGCTAAAAGGAAGTTTACAGCACAGAAGATACAACTGCCTACCAGTAACAAGACCAGCCTAGACTTTCCTCATTGCCCCACGTCTGTTGGAAACTTGTCTGCGTTACGATGACATATCAATCACAAGCATTCATCTAACCCACTGAGTACTGTTGTTAGATTTACGTGTATCTTCTCGTGTGGACATGGTCATGCAGATTTCATGAAACCAAAATATCTGATGTTTCAGTTTGTAAGTAACGAACAGAATTGACAGAAATTTTGACAGAATTGGTCAAAATTTGTCTGCTTTTTTGTGATATTTTCTGTATTCAATACAGATGTGTAGCCAGTATTTACAGGCAAACAGCCCAGGTCTCTTAACAGGCCCTATCTACCACACATATTGCAATATCAGGATACATGCCATGAATTTATCAATCTGTAATGGGCGTACCCCTGCACCAAATCAGAATTTATTGCCTCTTTCCTCCCCTCCTCCCACCTCCGCCCCCACTCTGTTAATGCATGATAAATACGGTAATTGTTTTACCCAAGTTGCATATACAAATTAAAGTATAAAATATGTTTATTTGAAAAACCGAATTAGGTGATGACCTCAGTAGAATGATAATGATTAACTAAGGATACATAAATATTGTTGAGTATTAAACCCTATAAGGAATTGTGTGTTGAACTTTATACATATTGTCATTTGTTTGAACAGATGGTGGAGGAGCAGGTCACCAGAAAGTTAAAGCAGCTTCATAAGGAGATGAGAAACTTCGACCAATCCTTCTCAGATTCTGATTCGAACACATCTGAACCAGCTATTGAGGATGATGACACTTATTCACCAGATGAGAATGAGAGCAGCTTCTCACACGATGAGAATGATAGCAGCTTCTCACCAGAAGAAACATCTCAATCACCAAAACCTAATAAGTTTATCAAGGTTGTAGTGAACCCCAAGCTGTTGAAGAAGGCCTCCAAAATAAAGCCAAATCTCTATCTGGATATAAAACTAGAGGATTTTCCAGAAATGTGGGAAAGAAAACTCTTTACTTCAAATTTACGTCAGGTGAGTCACTATGTATTAAAAAGGATTAAGCACTTGATTTAAACAACAGGTCAGTTACCAGATATAAAAAAACATGTAATGGTCGCCAGATGTATATATCAAGTCACTCAACAGATGTTTACATCAGGTCGGTCCACAGATATATACACCAGGTCAGTCACCAGATATATACACCAGGTCGGTCCACAGATATATACACCAGGTCAGTCACCAGATATATACACCAGGTCAGTCACCAAATATATACACCAGGTCAGTCACCAGATATATACACCAGGTCAGTCCTCAGATATATTTACCAGGTCAGTCACCAGATATAAACACCAGGTCAGTCACCAGATATGTACACCAGGTCGGTCCACAGATATATACATCAAGTCAGTCACCAGATATATACACCAGGTCGGTCCACAGATATATACACCAGGTCAGTCACCAGATATATACACCAGGTCATTCCTCAGATATATACAACAGGTCGTTCCACAGATATATACATCAAGTCAGTCACCAGATATATACAACAGGTCGGTCCACAGATATCTACACCAGGTCGGTCCACAGATATATACACCAGGTCAGTCACCAGATATATACACCAGGTCGGTCCACAGATATATACATCAAGTCAGTCACCAGATATATACACCAGGTCAGTCCTCAGATATATACACCAGGTCAGTCCTCAGATATATACACCAGGTCAGTCCTCAGATATATACACTAGGTCAGTCACCAGATATATACACCAGGTCAGTCCTCAGATATATATACCAGGTCAGTCCTCAGATATATATATCAGGTCGGTCCTCAGATATATACACCAGGTCAGTCACCAGATATATATACAAGGTCAGTCACCAGATATATATACCAGGTCAGTCACCAGATATATATACCAGGTCAGTCCTCAGATATATATACCAGGTCAGTCCTCGGATATATATATCTGGTCAGTCACCAGATATATACACCAGGTCAGTCACCAGATATATACACCAGGTCAGTCCTCAGATATATATACCAGGTCAGTCCTCGGATATATATATCTGGTCAGTCACCAGATATATACACCAGGTCAGTCACCAAATATATACACCAGGTCAGTCACCAGATATATACACCAGGTCAGTCACCAGATATATACATCAGGTTAGTCACCAGATATATACACCAGGTCGGTCCACAGATATATACATCAAGTCAGTCACCAGATATATACACCAGGTCGGTCCACAGATATATACACCAGGTCAGTCACCAGATATATACACCAGGTCGGTCCACAGATATATACACCAGGTCAGTCCTCAGATATATACACCAGGTCAGTCACCAGATATATACACCAGGTCAGTCCTCAGATATATACAACAGGTCGGTCCACAGATATATACACCAAGTCAGTCACCAGAGATATACACCAGGTCGGTCCACAGATATATACACTAGGTCAGTCACCAGATATATACACCAGGTCAGTCACCAGATATATATACCAGGTCAGTCCTCAGATATATACACTAGGTCAGTCACCAGATGTTTACACCAGGTCAGTCCTCAGATATATATATCAGGTCAGTCCTCAGATATATACACCAGGTCAGTCACCAGATATATACACCAGGTCAGATATATATATCAGGTCAGTCCTCAGATATATACACCAGGTCAGTCACCAGATATATACACCAGGTCAGTTCTCAGATATATATACCAGGTCAGTCATCAGATATATACACCAGGTCAGTCACAAGATATATATATATCAGATCAGTCCTCAGATATATACACCAGATCAGTTACCAGATATATATACCAGGTCAGTCACCAGATATATATATCAGGTCAGTCCTCAGATATATACACCAGATCAGTTACCAGATATATATACCATGTCAGTCACCAGATATATATATCAGGTCAGTCCTCAGATATATACACCAGATCAGTTACCAGATATATATACCATGTCAGTCACCAGATATATATATCAGGTCAGTCAACAGATATATATATCAGGTCAGTCCTCGGATATATACACCAGATCAGTTACCAGATATATATACAAGGTCAGTCACCAGATATAAAAACAATATACAGATATATAAAATGGTTCATTATGTAATGATACACACAATAAGTAGTTTTCACATTTATGGCCCCAACAGCTAGTTAATTAGAGAGCTGCCCTCTTAAGTTAATGCTCCTCTTAATGACTGTATGATTTCATGTTTCAGGAACGTAACGTAGCAGTAGAATCCAAGTCGTATGAGGAATACAGGTGTTTACTCTGTACTGGACACCATGCATTCCACACAAGTGCCGCTGACCTCATGGAAAGCCACATTGAGGAACATCTCAACTACAGCTTCCCGTGTAAGGAGTGTGCTGCAAACTTTGATCAACAGAGTTTGCTGACAGAACACTGCCAGAAAGAACATAGTGTCACGTGTGAGATCTGTAATCAAGAATTTTCCTCAAAAGGATTATACAAACGTCATATTGGACGCATGCACGGGCAGAGGAATATTCCCTGCTTCAAATGTGATGAAAAGTTTAAAAGCAAGTCACTGTTTAAACAACATCTTTTAGAAGCACATCCTGGCTCAGCACAAAAGTGTGAAAAGTGTGGCGTTATACTAAGGAGCCATCTCAATGCGATGCAAGGACACCTTAACTCTAAGAACTGCCTTCGACGGCAGCAGGGTAATCTAAAGACACAATGTGAGATATGTGGTAAATTATTTTCGGAGAATGGGATACGGAAACACAAGCTGCGAGTGCACCAAAAACTACGTACATTTAAATGTGATGTCTGTTCCTATGCTGGTATAACACTACAGTCCCTAAAGGATCACAAAAAAACTCATACAGGTGGGTAAAGTCATTTCAGGGTGTCTTTACACTACATAAAAAAAATACTTTCCATTTTACTGGAAAAGGAAAGCTGTATGTCATTATATTAGGTACAAAATGTGGGTGTCATTATCTTAGGTAAAATGATGAGTCATAAGGCTGGGTTGAGGTGCATGCTATGTCCAAGGTTACAGTAACAGCAAGAGCTCAGAGGTCAAATAATTGTAACAATCTTCAAGACTAAACCATATGAATTGTTCTAAATTTTTCATACATGGATGACTACTATAACTTTTTTTCATATACTTTAGTATACAATAAGCCCTTGTCTTGTAACAAACCCACATTGCTGTTCAGTATAATTATCGTTTAGTATCAACAAACACAATGTACGTTCATTGTCCTGTAATTTAGCCAGTATCTGTGTGAAAGGTAATGGGCCTATTGCAGAATATACATAAGGTACAGTTATGGTGTCTATATCTGGTGTTATGTATCCTCTAGATCTGAGGGGAAAGTGTTCTAATATGTTTAGCAATAAATCTACCTGGAAGTCCTGAGTCCTGTACTTACGTAATTTTGTAATTTCTGTATTTTTGATAGGACTCCTGAAATTTCTCTAAATACCTAATTAAATTTTACATTGTAAGATCCATTGTTTTTGGCAACAAAGTTGAAAAGACCCGTGAAAATGATTTCTAGATTAGTCACTTATGTTTCTATCTAGAATTTCTGAATGATAAACAAAATCAAGGCCATTTAGTTTTAGAACTGGTCATTCATATTCAGAAGGTATATTAAGGGGTCAAAGTCAAACCATTTTCAGATTTGCAAATAGCAAATTTACAGCAATTCATGAAATTCATTTCTGAATGACTGATTATACCTTCATTGGAAAAAACTTTACTATATGTATCCTGAAAAGACATGTTCTGTGTAAGAAACACTGGTATTGTCGAGGTCACAGAACTGTGAGGAATGTTAAAGCACCATCATTATGAGATGTGAAGTAACAAGGGACATATAAACCCAAAGATTCCTCTGACTCAAATTACCATAAGCTAGACATTTTGACAGATATCTGTCACTTAAAATGACAAAAGTATAGTGTTAGAAGTGGAAGCATGGAATAGGATATGTTATACTCCTTCAATATGCCTATATTCTCTATACTGTAGTGAAGAAGTGGGGAATCAGACTTCTAATTTAGCTATGTGTTTCAATTGTTTTCCATCTACCATAATATATGTACATATAGCTCATATGTAAAGTAGGAAGTATTCATTCGCTGCATTATGAATATATGTATGCGCCACCAAATTTACAATAAATATATTGTTTTGAATCCATCTCTCTTTCCCAGGTGAGCATCCTGTAAAGTGTACACTGTGTGAATTTTCCTGTATCAAGCCATATCAACTGAAATGTCACATGCGGACACACCTGAAATTAAAACCCTACAAGTGTGACAAGTGTAACTACGCTGCCTCCTGGAATGTTCAGGTGAAGGACCACATGCGGGCCCACTTTAGTCCAACACGAGTGGACTGTATAGAGTGTAATATTTCTTACAAAGACCAGCGAGGGCTGAACCTCCATCGCCTCAAAGAGCATGGGGAGGGACAGGCAGCCAAGAGGGATAAAGTGAAGAACATCACTTCAAAGAAACGTGGAAGACCGATTCGTCTAATGGAAGGTGATGAGAAACCCAAAAGTAAGCGGAGAGCAAGCAAGAAGAAATTAAAAGAGCTATCATCTGAGGAGGAATATATGGACACAGATGCAGAACCAGAAAATGAAATGTCAGAAGAGGAAGAAAAATATGTTCCTCGCAAATCCACCCGCAGAAGAGCCGCCAAAAAACCAAACCCACAGTATGCACTTATTTCAGGGGAGGAGGAGTATGATAAGGAAGAGCAGGAACAGGCAGATTCTTATGTACCGTCCATTTCAATGCTTAACAGTAAATAACTTCAGATGACACTACTCATTTGCCTGTGTATGAAGTTGGAACAGGAGAAATAATGGGATTTGTGGCCAACTTGATAGCATTACACATCCAGTTTACAGCAATAAACACACGGTTTACAGCAGTAGACACCCAGTTTACAGCAATACACACCCAGTTTACAGCAGTACACACCCAGTTTACAGCAGTACACACAGTTTACAGCAGTAGACACCCAGTTTACAGCAATACACAACCAGTGTACAGCAGTATTCAGTTTACAGAAGTAAGACCCAGTCTACAGCAGTGCACACCCAGTTTACAGCAATACACACCCAGTTTACAGCAGTAGACACCCAGTTTACAGCAATACACACCCAGTTTACAGCAGTACACACCCAGTTTACAGCAATACACACCCAGTTTACAGCAGTATACACACAGTTTACAGCAGTATTCAGTTTACAGCAGTACACACCCAGTCTACAGCAGTGCACACCCAGTTTACAGCAATACACACCCAGTTTACAGCAGTATACACACAGTTTACAGCAGTACACACCCAGTTTACAGCAGTAGACACCCAGTTAACAGCAATACACAACCAGTTTTCAGCAGTATACACACAGTTTACAGCAATACACACCCAGTTTACAGCAGTACACACCCCGTTTACAGTAGTAGACACCCAGTTAACAGCAATACACAACCAGTTTACAGCAGTATACACACAGTTTACAGCAATACACACCCAGTTAACAGCAGTACACACCCAGTTTACAGCAGTATACACACAGTTTACAGCAGTAGACACCCAGTTAACAGCAATACACAACCAGTTTACAGCAGTATACACACAGTTTACAGCAGTAGACACCCAGTTTACAGCAATACACACCCAGTTTACAGCAGTACACACCCAGTTTACAGCAGTAGACACCCAGTTAACAGCAATACACAACCAGTTTACAGCAGTATACACACAGTTTACAGCAATACACACCCAGTTAACAGCAGTATACACACAGTTTACAGCAATACACACCCAGTTAACAGCAGTACACACCCAGTTTACAGCAGTATACACCCAGTTTACAGCAGTATACACACAGTTTACAGCAGTAGACACCCAGTTTACAGCAATACACACCCAGTTTACAGCAGTACACACAGTTTACAGCAGTATACACACCCAGTTTACAGCAGTACACACCCCGTTTACAGCAATACACACCCAGTTTACAGCAGTATACACACAGTTTACAGCAGTATACACACAGTTTACAGCAGTATACACACAGTTTACAGCAGTATTCAGTTTACAGCAGTACACACCCAGTTAACAGCAGTAGACACCCAGTTTACAGCAATACACACCCAGTTTACAGCAGTACACACACAGTTTACAGCAGTAAGCACCCAGTTTACAGCAGCACGCACACAGTTAACAGCAGTACGCACCCAGTTTACAGCAGTACACACCCAGTTTACAGCAATATACACACAGTTTACAGCAATACACATAGATCTCGAATACATCAGATCCTCCCATCTTCAGGTACTTGTATTACCGGACTAAATTAGATCCTACCATCTTCAGGTACTTCTATTACCAGACTTAATTCATGAAACCTAGAACTAAGATTGATCTATATGTCACAGAATTGGATTGTGAAATGCCTGCTATAATATGGAATATTCTTCATTAGAAAATTAAGGAATTGCCATCTCAATGGTTTGGCAACATTTGGCTTAACTAATGAGCTGTCAGTATACAAGTCATTTTATAAATCCAGACAGGACTGTTACAAAAGTATGAAAACAATGTGCAGTTATAATAGAACAAAAAATATTTCTTGAATGTTCATCAGCTTACTGAAAACATTTGCTTTTGTAATGTGAACATGTGGACATTCTGCAAGAAATGCTACCAGATCTTAAGAATTCATTTCAACTGGTATTGTTGTGAGGACTTATGATTAAGTTGTGAGATATTGCAATTAAGTTGTTTTAATACAGAATATTATAGGTTTTATATACATGGATGAAATCAATATTATTATTTGATAGATATTTATTTTAATATATACATAACTTTTATCTGAAAGAAAATCCATGAGGCCAACTAAAGATCTCTTTCTTAATGTGATGTGACGGAAGATAGTGGAAAAGAATTCCTGCAATATGCGTTGTTGTAAACCTGCAAAAGCTTATTACAAGACCAAATGGTAATTTGCTTTACAGTACTGCTGATTATGTCAAAGCTTATGTAAAGTTTGTACAGCGTAAAAATGATTGAATAGAATCCAGCATAAATTGATTTGAAATGTGACCAACATTATTACAGTCTGTGTTGTCCAGTATTCTGTTGCTATGCTCTTGCCCGTGATATTCATTAGCAAGTATATCTCAGCCAAATATTAAAATATTGAAGATCAATCTTGTTGTATTCTTTGTAAAAGTAATTACATGTAGAGCCTATCTCCTGAAAAATTAAGTAGAAATAAGATTGAAAGTAAGACTACTTGAAAGCAACTATTTCTTTCAAATTTTTCACCAAATTGCCATAAATTTGCGGCTCCATCATCAGCGGCTCCCTCTCCAGTAAGGAATGAAAGGAAAGATGATAATCTTTGATGTTGCATGGACGTCGAGGAAAACTTAAGTCTGTCCGTCCCTCCAATCCCGGGAGGAGATGACTAACAGAGAAAGCCTGACTTAATATCTAGCAGGTAGCATTATGGGTTGTAGTAGGATGTTGGCCTATAGTTGTGGCGACACATGGTCATGATCACAGCAGGCAAAGGTGTACAGTAGTTCTGACCATACCAAATTACTGATGCATGTAATTACTTCTGTCAAATTATCATTATTCATTATTGCAAACTCTGATAAAATTAAAATCTCATTTATCCAGTTCTAGTCAAATCTTAATCTTAGTTTTGATTAACTGGGTTAAATATAAAGTTTTTCATGATTCTGTTGACTTTGAGATAATGAAGTTGGAGTACAAATAATATTATCAATGACTGTAGAAGTAACGACACCACTCGTGTTTACAACCAGAGAATAATATTTATTGAGTAAAACTTATATAGTAAGTACAGAATTTAGTACAATCAAAAACTCATAAAAATCAGGTTTCTTCTAACATTTAAAAATAATATTATACTCAACAAAAAACTAACAGTCAACCCAGTTCTTAAAGAAAACTTAAACTATGGCATTTAAGTTGCAAGACAATTTCATAAAATTAATTGATCCACACATTATTGTATGTATATAAGAAAATCTTAACATTCCAGAAAATATCTAGAAACTTAATTCTGTTAATTCGAGATAATGTACTAAACAGTAAAATCTAAACAGATTCTAGAATCCGCTAAAGAAAATAAATGAAAATCATCCTTTGATTTCCAACAAATGCTTCTAAACTAATTTATGATGATGATAACCATCCTACTTCTGCAGGAAATTCAGCTTATTGTTAATTTTACTGCCAACAAATCTAGGTTGCCATCGTTTGAAAGAATTTTGCAATAAGAATGGAGTTAGATTATAAATATTTGTCAAAAAGAATTCACTGCAACTAGATGTGATGGCCCCTCAGTCTACAGCATAGTTGGAGATCATTACTTAATGGATGTACTTTGTCGGTGACCTGCACCTTTGATATCCAAGAAATTCCAATACAGCATTTCAGTAACATAAGGAAAGACCCAATGTAAATGTCTGCAGTTTGATTTTCCATTCACAATGAAACTTGAGTTAAACTTTGGAAAATTAGTGTCTTATTTATTGTATAAAACCTTGACCTTTAAAACTGGTAAGCATGTAAGAAAGATTGAGTGATCGGCCAATGAAAACGCAAGTTATTGTTTGGAAAAATCAGTATTATTAAACAGTAAATGACTTGGCCTTTAAAACTGTTAAGTATGAAAACTCAAGTTAAGGCAACCTTGCAAGAAAATGCAAGTAGCAAAAAGAACTTGATCTTAACTGAGATAAGTAGATGAAGTGGCAATCAACATAAGGTGGATCATAAGATTTTTCAAACTTCAATTCAAATATGTATCTAAATTTATTTATATCCGTCACTAATGATCAAGGTATATTCAGTTGGGGACTCCAATTCATTACCATTATCTTACCAAAATCTATTTAAAACTAATTATCAGGATCATGATAAGGGATTACATATTTTCCATATTGTTCATTTGTGCTCCATGTATGCTTTTCATGGAGTTTGATGTTGTGCATCAAGAAACCAAGAATGCTTTGTAATTAAGCACATCTTCAAATATCACTTAAAAATAGCATGTCCAATATGGTAAGTTGTGTTGGACTCGGAGAGAACTATCTGGATTACTCTTGTGAGACCATGTATACCTCTATATCCATAGTAGGTTTGTTTGGATTTCCACAATTTCGACACTGAGGGACATTTTCTTTTGAAAGACAATGTTCGCGATTTCCACAATTTCGACACTCAGGGACATTATTTTTTGAAAGACTTTCTTAGTGTGTGCACTCCCCATTGTAGATCTATTTTTTTCAAAATTATTCAGTATATACACTGAAACAGATTGCTGATGTTACCCGTTCACAAGGTAACATGTGTTGATGCATGCTTTACACTTTTTCCATGTACTCCAGATCCTCAAGATCAGAACTGCTGTCATTTTCTGTTCCCTCTATCTTCACATCATCCTTAACAAAATTGTCAGAACAATTAAATGGACCGGATATCTTGTTGGTTGACGATGATTGGCCATTTTGCTCAGTGTCCATTATGGAATGAAATGTGCCACAATCTGAAGAAACAGATATATCTTGATAGGTCGTATTTGTATTTGAAACTTCAGTCGTTTTATCAAAGGTTTCATTCACCAATTTTAATATTTGTTGCATGAAAGAACAGTCCATTTTTCTGGTCTCCATAACAACGCTTCTATCCTCTTCTTTGTTAGCCATGTTACTAGAATTTTCTAAAACACTCGAACATGGCTCTGACTGCTGACCACCACCACAGTATAAAGGCACATCCGCATGCAATTTCTTACATCCTAAATCAAAACTGTCCTTAAATTCATGGCATAGAATCTTCCAATTAGTTTCTGAACTAGAAGATATTTCTGTTTCCTGTATTGTAAGAGGTTTGACATCATCCAAGTGACCCTCAGGATGATTGTGTGAACCAAAGCTACTGGAAGACATGTTACCCTGAAACCCTGAGGTCCTACTGGTAGATTTATCATACTGTGTGTTTTGTAACTGAATATTCTGATCTGAATTCTCACTTGGATGGCATCCTTCACTGTATGGCCTCTCAGTTATTGTTACATTCTCCACAATATCTACATACATATCAGTGTGTCCTTCCTCTCGTCCTCTTATCACTTGGTTTTCTGCGGGACACACTGGATAGGAAACAGTGCTGACAGTAGCACATCCATTGTTAAGAGTACACTGGGGTTTGTGCGGATATAAAGAACTGTTTGTAACATTATGTTCGGGTTCACAGAGGAAGTTTGCCATTTCTGTAGTGTTGCACAGTTGTAGATTTGTTTTAGGTCCACCATTTTTGGTCACATTACATTCAGGTTCCCATTTGTAGTTCACTACTTCCGCAGTGTTGCACAATTGTAGATTTCTCTGAGGTAGGTGTGTTACACTCTTTCTGTCCACAGATGAACACGGGTGACAGTCTTTTATTTTATGTCCATCGTATTTATCTGGAAAAATTCCCTCTGTCTGTTCCCATGCAAATGTTATTTTATCGAAATTCTGTGTGTTGGACACGACAGGACTAGCCACCTGTGGTGCAGAATCTGGCAAAATGGAACAAACATTGCCAAAGTGATCTAGTTTTTTGTCTACTTTATTTCCAATGGTTTTCTTGTCACCTTTTCCCTTCAACAATTGCTCCCTCTGTGTTCCATCCAATCCAGATTCTGTCTTTACATCACCATCTATAACAGCTTCAGAGTTTTGAAACCCTTCAGTCAAAACCTCTTTGTTGGGTAGTTGTACCTTACAAGAGGCATGGAATACCTTTGACAAAGTGCTGTGTGAAATGAATGAATTACGTTGCTGATAAGCTTTTCTTGATTTTTTCTTAATATGAGCCTGGATCATATTGACAAGTCCAAATGCATATTTAGGTGCTTTCTCGTCCTGCTGTCTCCTACTTTTTTGCATCTGAGAAGGAACCGTGTCTAGCTTTTTTCTTTTGGGACGTTTTCTGTATGTTTCGGCTAAGGTTTTCCTTCTATGTTTTTCTGATCCTTCTTGTAATTTCTGAGTAAGTGCCGGTAGTAACTTACCTTTTAAGATTGCGATAATTCTGAGTTTCTGACAAACAATATTCTGTCCTATATAAGAAATTTTAGGAGCTTGTTTATAAAGAAACTGTCCTCTACACAAGTGAAGACTTCTGTTGTCCAATGATCCTTGTCTACATCTTTCCAGCGAAGTATCATCCAGATAGGAAACCAGTCCACCTAAACTGTTCAACTGCTGTGTGAGGACCTCCTGATCATGTTGAAGAATTCTAATTAAGAGATTATTGCTGCTAGTTCTGTCACACTCACATGACGCAGAGTATTCATTAATGACACAACCGTCCTTTCCTCCATGGTCCAGCAAAGGTCTTGTTTGATGTAAAATTGGCCTATCTCCCTCCTTCACACCATAGCAGGGAAGTTCTTCAACTGGAAAGCAAAAAAATTGTCTGTAATGATTGTTTATTATCTATTTAAAGAATGTACCAGTTAGAAAAAAAGACATATAATTTGTCTCTAAAATATGTGTATACACAGTTTCATACACAAAAAACAGTTTCATAGTCAAAAGAACATTGTTTGGAACAACAGCGTAAGTTAAAAAGAAGAAATAGAAAAGTATTAACTAACAGGTAAATAAATGAATAAGTAAATGTAAACACAGACTCTAATCCTGCCTATACAGATTTCATTCTTAGATCAGAAAGTAAAGTAGTAATGAGTTTTACTGGATATATAAGTATGTAAATATAGACTCTAATCCTGCCTATACAGATTTCATTCTTAGTAGAAAGTAAAGTAGTAATGAGTTTTACTGGATATATAAGTATAAATATAGACTGGATATATAAGTATGTAAATATAGACTAATCCTGCCTATACAGATTTCATGTAAATATAGTAATGAGTTTTACTGGATATATAAGTATGTAAATATAGACCCTAATCCTGCCTATACAGATTTCATTCTTAGATCAGAAAGTAAAGTAGTAATGAGTTTTATTGGATATATAAGTATGTAAATATAGACCCTGTATTTCATATAGAAAGTAAAGTAGTAATGAGTTTTATTGGATATATAAGTATGTAAATATAGACTCTAATCCTGCCTATACAGATTTCATTCTTAGATCAGAAAGTAGTAATGAGTTTTAC